AGTAAGGAAACAAGGCTGGCAGCCAATTTTGAGAAGCCAAAAAAAAACTTGTCTTCCCGGAGCTTCAGGGTTCGGGTAGAAGAAAGAAGTCCTCAAGGAAGACTCTGTTTCATGGATTCTTTTGGCCTCTTCTTCGGAAGACTCTTCTGCGTCTTCGCTTTTCTCCTCTCCTGCCGCCGGAGTACCCGCTGGGCCGAATCTCGCGAAGCGGGTCTCAAGAAGAGAAGCCAAGGGCCTCGCAGATGTGAAACGCAGCCGAAAACGACGAGGAGGGGCGGTCTTCGGAGCGTACAACGGGCGCGTCTAAGGAGGGGCGGTCGGAGTAATGGTTCGGTGCGTGGATGGATAGTGAGTAGGGGTGGTGGTGTGTGGTGTTCAGGGGCCGCAGTCGACGGTGCAGCTGCAGGAAGGGAAAGAAAAAGTGGATGGGCTGTGGGGTCGGAAGAGACAGGGTGAAAAGGTGAAGGAATAGACAAAAAGAAAAGGAAGGGATGCATGTGTTCGGACATGGGGGGCATTGGGGAGCAAAGAGCCGCCACACAATTTTCACGCGGCGGCGGTGGGCTCGCAGCGGAAACCGAGTCGTCGCCACAACCGAGCCAGCCGCTGCTTTCGCAGCTTGGCCCGGCACTTGTGACCCGGTGTCCTTTCGGGCCCCGAGCCCTTGCGCTTGTAGGCCTCAAAGCGCCGGAGTTCACACCTAGGAGTCGTGGGAAATGAATGTGGATGGGATTGAAGGAGAGCCAGGCGCAGCGAAGACACAAAGCATGTTCAGTGTGGTGAATAGTCCAGCCGCGGGGGCATACCTCTTGGATATAGACTTGGTAGGGCGCAAGCTGTTCCAACAGCCAGCCTCGGATGCAAGGTTGCGAAGAAGGAGGTGGTGGAAGAGGTGCAGAAGAAGGTAAGGCAAGGAGCTGTGGACGGTGCGCAGTTGCTCAGCAGGGTCTGTAATGGCAGCACGCAAGGAGGGTTGGCAAGGCGCCGTCGCCCACGGTCAGTGAACAAGGCAGCTGTGGAAACAGAACCTCAGCGTCCCAATATAATGTGTGGGTTGGGGTAGGAGTATGCGACTGAGCCACCTGCAAGTCCCTACAGCAGAGGTAGGTGAGAAACGGTGACCGCAACCCCAGGCGGCGTAGTTGTGCGGAGACCTGCTTTTCTGTAGAGCAGGCCGGCAAAGTGGCGGCCACAGCTGCGAAGGCTCCTGAGGTTAAACGAAAAGGTGAGGGCGAGGGAAGAATAGGCGAAAAGGTGTTTGGTCGAGGTGCCTGTGTTTACGAAGGAAGCAAAGGCCAGCGCAGCTTCCTTTGGCAGTTGGTACTTGCCTTTGTGGCCACGGTCTTTGCGGTATGTGCCTCGGGGAGGTTAAGAAAAGTGGTTGGTATCGGTGAATGAAAGGTGCGTCAGCAACAAGAAGCGAAGAACCCGAGGCACTCCATTGTGCCATCCGGCTTTGCGCTGTTGCGCTCCCAAGCTTCAAGGCCATTGCAGCCTTGGCAAGGGCTTCTGCGCCCACGGCTCCAGCCAGCACATCGGCGGGTAAGGCACGGGTTGCTGCTTGCGCGTATCCCGCGAGCAGCAATGGAAGCAGGCCTTCACCTTAGCGTGGCGTCGCGCAAAGGATGTGCGCAAGTGTGGTATGCGCAGGCAAGAGACCGCAAAGGAGCAGGCGAACGAGCCAGATGAAGGCGAGTTGGAGGACAAGAGGGCGGCCAAAAATGGCCTGACACAAAAAAAGGCAAGGGTGTCGGGAGACAGCGACCAGGGGTTTAAAATTCCAGCCGCAAAGGGAAAAGGTCAAGAGAACAAAGCGGTAGTGTGGCCAAGGAACATCCTGTAGCTCCAAAGACGTGTTATCCAAGTTGAAATCGACTTCACAACGTCTGTGTGTTTGGAAAGCGTTCTGAGTTCGAAGTTCTTTGGCAGCATGTGGGAGTTCACGGATGCAGGTCTTAGTCCTAAGAGTCGGCAGAGTGACGGGATTAAGAGGCCACGGGAAAAGAGAAGAGTAGTGTTGTGGCCAAGTTGCGCTTTCGGACCTTGGACTTTCATGATCGTGTCGGGGAGGCGCGAGAGAACCCACGTGAGCAGCAAGGCTCGCATGGAGTCACGCGCGCGTGCCACAGAGCGGGTCCAGCCGCTAACACCACTGCTCTGGGGCCGCTCCGCCCACTGGGGCCGCTCATGGTTTTCCTGAAGCGCGCAGATCAGAGAAGGAGAAGGGGTATGTTTGCGTCCAAAGGGCAGCTTTGCTCGTTTGGCGGCGGCACCAGGGCCGCGAGCGGTGCGAAGAGCGTGGCGGACAGCACGCTTTGATTCGGCGGTCCAGGCCATGGCTAGAAAAAGCAGAAGATGTCGGAGAATCAGCACAAATGTTTGGTCAAAGCAAGGGCTGCAGGTGAAGGGGTTTCCCCGTGGGATTTTTGGGAGGCGTTGTCAAAGGGTGTGAGGAAGGCGTAGAGAAGTTTGGTGTGAACGAGTGTGTTGGCACAGGGGTTGGGATGGGAGGTCTCGGTTCGCAGCTGCAGGTCCCTTCCCAAACAAAGCGTGTCTTGGTGGCAGGGAAGAAAAACATATATATATATACATAGTATTGGAAAAATATAGGAGAAATACGTATTTAGTAACATAGCCCATGCTAGCCCCATGCCCGGCCATCTGTGTCGCACCAGCTTCCCACCGCTTTCGGCGGCTCCGCCTGGAGAACTGGAGCGTTTGCGAGCTCCGCCCTGTCGGGTTGGGTCGTGTATTTCTTGCCTGTCGGGTGAACGGCAGAGGGAGCATGGAAGAATTGGAAGGTATTTGTGTGAAGCAATTTCGGTGGAAGCTGTGACTGAGCAGGTCACGTTCGAATCCCCTCGATGATGGCACCCCTGAATAAACCGGCAAAGCACAAGTATAGGGCGACTCGGCAACGGGAACAAGGTGTCGAAACGAAGGAGTTGGTAGATCGAAACCTTGGAGCACCGAGGAAAAGAGGAAGAACAACAGGCCTCATCTCCCAAAAGTAGACAGCAAGAGCTAGGAGAAAGAAACGTGGAAAACCGGCGCAATGGTTTGGAAATGGGAGCAAAAAACGAGACAACGGTATATCTCAGTTGTAAAGGACATAGAAAAGGAAGAAGCAGCAAGGAACAAAACGCTGGATCTTTTGGATTGGTGGCATGGTGGGAGATGTGGATGGGAAGGTCGTGGCCGACGGCATATGACGGCAAGCGACGGAGGCGCCTGGAATGGAAGCAGTCGATGGTCGCGAGCAAGTAGAGGTCTGGCAGTGGAGGAATGGAAAAGGCGCCAAGAATAGTTGGGAGGAAGAGATGTGCAAGCAACTGCAAGACTTCTTTGTTTTCGATCACGCGGAAGATTGCAAGTAGTTCAGATGCAAGACTTCTTGTTTTCGATCGCGCGGAAGATTGCAAGTAGTTCAGATCTAGAGCCCAAGCCGGTCAGCCGCCGAATGTGCGCGCGAGGACTGCGAGCGTCTCAGCGCCCAGGTCTTCGGGGAAGTCCACGCGGTGGTGGGTGAGGGTACGAGAAGTGTGAACCCAGCCGCCAGGTCCGTTGGAGCGAGGAAGCCCAGCTTGCACAAGGGAGTCACGGGGAGCGTAGGATGGCCCGGCGACGAAGAAGTGGAAGCTGCCTGTCTGATCGTTCGATGGGACGGCGTGGAGGGTGACATGACTTCGAGCAACTCTTCCAGGAGCATCTCGCAGGCGGCATACCGGGTGCTGCACGCCTTGGTACTCCACAGGAAAGGGGGCTGCATCCAGCAAAGCCTCCTGGTCAATCTCTGCAGGGCACCACAACCGGATCTTAGGCACCTGCAGTGAAGATTCCTGCGTCTGGCGCCAGGTGATGAAGGCGGAGAAGTGCTCAAGCATAGCGGGAAGCCCCTCAGGTCCTCCGCCAACGTAGGGGCGGCGCTGAAGCTCCACAGGAGTTGGCACATCGCGGCCTGCGAGAAAGGTATCGAGTGGTCTAGATCCGGGATCGCGGAGGACAGGAAGAAAACTGACTGGATTGCAGCAGAGGTGCGAGATCCGTCAAGCTGCCCGGGACATTCCCAGTAGCTTTCTCTTCGTCGGTTGCGGCTTCTGCTGTGGCCCGGAGGTAGTTGCCCAAGTTGCCCCGCAACTGGAAGGTTGCCGAAGGTGTAGTGGCTGATCCTTGCCTGCCCACATGGACCACTGAGCCTCAGGCCTATTGTTCCGCGAGAACAAAATTCAATGGAACTATCAGCATCCAAACACCTACATTGACCCCTGAACTATGCCGTTTACGAAACCATCTGTGGATGTCCAAAGATATGACCTAGAGACCTATAGCTTGGAGTATGGGTCAATGTCTGGGTCTTGTATGGGTAAACGATCCCTGGCCTTGGTTCCTGGATCATCCAAGCCCCTACCTTTTGATTTGCTGGGCCAACCAAGACCTCCCAAAATTGAGGGTGGTCTTCATTTGTGCTTGGTTCTCCCGAAGCCTGATCCAGCCGGGGTTGTATCCAAAATTCATGAGAAAGTGGATGGTATAGTCGCAGGCTCCACCCTGTGAATTGGTTCAGTCCTACTTGAAATGTCTTTCTGATTCCTTGCTGCTTGCAGCATGTTGAAACAAACAACCTTCTTGTTCCTTGCTATTGGCAAGACTTTGGAAGGCATGACCTTTCTATCTAGTCGGGCGTCATTATATCTTAGTTTATCCGATATATGGTTGCGCAAATAAACCTCAAGGAATGTTCACTGGACTACTGGTCCTGGTTGTACATAAATTGGATCTTGTCATTTTGAGACGTGTGCACCATCTGATCAATGATCGGTTCGGCGTGCTTGGCAAGATCCGTGACCACAAGATCCGCAACTGCGAGGAGCTTGTTCCCTGGAATTATGTTTGAAAACAATGGGGGTTTCATTGCGCCAATTGAGCTGTGTTGGAAACCTTGATAGATTCCTACGTCGTAAGAGGGTGCTTACGCAACACACGGCATGTGGGAGGAAGTGGATGCTTACGCCACCCTTACGCAGCCAGACTTCGCAGACTTTTTGCGAATCCGTTGGGAACATCCTTACGCGACGTGCTTTGTACAACGACGATAGGGCTTCAGAGTTACTACTTGCAGAAGCATGCGTTCCTTTCCGCAGTGGCACGGACTCACGCAAGCGCACTTTCCACCGAGGCCGCGCAAAACCGCATGCAGAAGCGAGCGAAGGTGCCTGCGAGTGATGAAGGCAGCTGAGGTCATGGAGTTTGTCGCTGAGAAGAAAGCTCAGCTTGCGGATGTAGATGCTGATGTGAAAGACGCCAAAAGGCGTGCGCGTGCTTTCCTTGGGCCGAAGCCAAAGAAGCAAAAGAAGATGCCGATGGCTTCGTGGGTTGACACTGCAGATTGCGGAGAGGCACCCAGAGGATGAGCACTGCGCGCGCCTTGCATTGAACTTTGGGCCTAGTCTTTTGGGAATTTGGTTGATGTATTGTTGCCATTGTTGGTCACCAGGGTGGCGGCAGCTGTTTTCCACAACCTGTGTGTAATGCGGGACTCTATGAGTGTGAAGCGCAACCCCCAGGTGATCCTGACACCACAGAACCTTGAGAATCTGCAGAAAGCCAACTATCTCTTCCACTGTGCTTACAACTGTGCATTCGTCATTTAAGATTGTTGCGGAATCTGCTCAGAATCATGTCCTGTGTGATGTTGCTGTTGGCTATTGATGGCCTAAGGATTGGCCAACGAAGCGATCGCCAATGAGAAGCTACTTTGACAGATGAAGCCGAAGTTGCACCGGTTAGACCACCTGGTGTTGGATGTCGCCCCGCTTCAAAGCCCGTTACCACTGAGTTGTTATCAAGATGGGGGTGGTATGGGGAAACTGAAGAAAGTCGCGGCGTCCAGCCACCCCAAGCGGTTGGGATGCCAGTCAGCCGCTATGCGGCTTTCGTGTGTTGTCGTTGGTTGAGGCAGCTGACAGAATAGAGCAAAGTAGATTAGAAAAGGCAACCTTCCACAAAAGTCCCTACTGGGCTTCACAAAAGCAACAATCTCCCAAAAGACGGATGCCCTCTGGCAGCTGCCACCCAACCGGGCCCAACCGGGCCGTTCCAGCCTGTTCGTGGCCTGCTCCAAGATAAAGGTGGAGAGGCAGCGCAGCACGCCGCTGTAGGATGGGCGTTCGAAGGACGACGTTTTCGATGGGAACCTGAAGAAAAATGGGATTCGGATGTGGTGTGTCCACTCAATGGGGTGTCCATTGGGCACCCCTTATCAAGCATGTGATCCCAAAACTCATTGGGCACTCCTTGGAGGGTGCTGGTATATATGACATGTATAGCATTGTATGCCCATCACATGTGTTCAGCAAAAGCTCTGAAAAGATAACAAAAAGGCAAAACATCCAAGCCACCAAGACATCCGGATTCGTTACATTCGACAACCCGAGCGCTGCCGAGCACAGCAAAAACACGATGCTCTCCAGTTCGGTCCCGTGCTGGGCTGAGACATTTGAACGAACTCAGGTTCATCTCCGCTGTCCTCTGCGCCTGCAAGAACGAACACATGTGTTGGAGGCCATCGGAAGCGACGAACGGGGTTCCTGGCCTTACTACGAACGGAGCACGAAGCTACGAACGGAACAAAGGGCATCGCTACTAGGTTGGAGGCCATCGCTACTAGGGTGGAGGCGCCGCCCTTTCGGGTCTTTCTTTCTGTCTCACACGGAAAAAGAAGCCATGGTTGGTCGGGAATTTCATTTTCATGGATCCATGAGGACAGTCTTGTCAAAGCATGCTGTCCGGGTCAATCTGAAAACAAATCCGCTCCAAGTGTCTTTTAAAGAACTTTGTATCCACAGTTTGTGTGTTTAGCACTCCTTTGGTGTTCTGAGAGCTCTGAAACAGAAAAGGACATTGAAAGCGACTCTGCAAACAAGCAGGATAACACTGCAGTCCTCAAAGCGCTAAAAAACCAATCTCTCTACCTCTACCCATCACTTGCTGACAGGGATCGCGCACCGGTTGGTCCCGCCAATCCTGCAACCTCAGTGCCAGTCGATCGGCCGTGGTCAGTGCCGTCGCTGCTTGCTGCTTGGACTGGATCTCTGTCACCACTGAGGGTTGGTTCTTAAGAGCGATGACCTGCAAGCTACTAGTGATGGCCTCGAACCTAAGAGCAAGTTCAGTTCACCAACAAAAAGTATCTCTCAAAAGTCACTTGGTCTCGGCTCGCCCTCCTGACTCTCCCCAGAATACATGCCGCCTCATCTGCAGGGCTTCTAGGTCTCCAGACATGTGCATCTGCACCTGGATGGGTGACTGGAGACCTCTCCCCACCGACACGTTCTTCCAGCGCACTCCCAGCTTTGGGCATGAATTTGGGTGAAGTCAATATTAAGTCGTGAATAGTAATGAATTGCGGAGTTCAACTCCCAGTAGTAGAATGGCTCTGTCAGCCACTTGACTGGGTACCTGTGGTCTTGACAGCTTGAGCGCTCCAAAACTGGCCACTTTTCAACAAGCGCTGCTGTTGACTGACAAGCTGACATCCCCCTATATCAAAGCTTGTTTCTGCCAGTCCCATCCCGCTCTACCTCCCATGAAATCGCTTGAAATAATGAAAGGGACAAGGGTTCCGGGATATCAGTAAACAACCA